ACCTTCCCAGTTTCACTGAAGTCCATCGAGAATACGCGTGATAACGTCTGGAGCTGAACTGGTATATTGATCACAACTCTGTAAACATCCAGCATTTTTCTTGAATTAAGATAATTTAGCGGTGAATAGGATTGCTGTCAGTCTCAAAATGAAAATGAAATATGCCTATTTACATAAGTGAGGAGCTAAGGCTTATCATTTATTTACATTCACCATTATTTAGAACCCCGAAAGGATTAGCGGTTTAATGAGTTTGGGCTTTCTTGATAGAAGAAATGAAACTTATCATTTGCTGAAGACTTGATTGAGTTTATGCAATCGACTTCTATTAAGTAAGCTGGTCATATGATACAATGTGCACGTACCACTACAAATAGAATTTGTAAGTAGGGACGCTCTAGTGTCAGCGCAACGGAATTGACGACTTTTGCGTTCTGACGCGCCTTATCAGCCCTTATCAGTTGTAATCACTTTCAATCACCCACCAACAATGTCCCCGTCCCACCCCACATAACACTTGTAAGTATGGACGCTCTAGTGTCAACGCGAGCTGGTAACGGAATCGACGACTTTTGCGTTCTGACGCGCCTTATCAGCCCTTATCAGTTGCTATCGCTTTCAATCATGTACCACCAATGTCCCGGGACCCACCCCACATAACACTTGTAAGTATAGACGCTCTAGTACCAATATGAACGACAAAACGAAATTGGCGATGCTCGCTTTCTAGCCCCTCTTATCAGCTATTATCAGTCGTTATCAGTTCCTATCACGTACCACTTGTGTCCCCATCCCACCCCCTATAACATATGTAAGAACCACTGCGCTATCGTTACTGTGACTCGAGCTATGAATTTCCGGTCAAACACACACACACACCAACAGACACACTTAGCCGATTATATATAGTAGGATGCTTTAAAGTCACATTTCAAAATTCCTAATTGAACAAGTAAGTGGTGAGCCTGCAAGAGCTACTGGAAAGGTTGTTGCAAGTTGCTACTTCACCACTGTGCAAACGAATTTCAGACGATCCAAATTTGGTGAAACCTCAGTCACTCAATAAGCTGATGAGCTCTGCTGAATTGCCTATTTCTACAGACGCCGAAGTCGAGATTGGAACAGCGACAACCGCACCAGCCAAAGCTGCTGTAAGAGCAGTTCATATATAATTGAAAGTTATTTTTTACGTACATGATTAAGCAATGCTCAGGGCTTGAGATGGCACAAGCGAATAGGCGATTGGGCGAGTGGGCATATCAAGAGTATACGTATCGTGTAGGCTCGCAGAGCATCAGTTTGGTTCGCTCCGCTCACTGAGCAATCGCCATCTCGCGTACTCCCCTATTTAATTGACCGACAGATATTTTTTCCTACCGCCTAATTGATCACCTGAATCGTTAACTCTATGCGTAG